TTGATTGAATCGCTCGTTAGAGAATCGAAAAGGCGCGAACTTTTCGAGTAGTGATGAATCTGCGCCCTCTATTGCCGTCGTCTTTATATCACACTTCTAGTCAACTTCTGCTTTATAAGGCAATGTTTTTCTGGTAAAATTTCCATTATGTAAAATGGGAACTTTCAAACATTACATATTAGTTAAGGCTCGGTTGAAGTTAGAGGGAACAATGGCTAAATAAAGAATATAGCCAGTAACCCAACGTTGGAAGCACTTGTTTTCCCAAACCGATTGCCAATTTACGTTGAATGAGAAATTAACAGCCTGAATTATTTTTGCCCTAACAGCCACAATGGAGATCACATTTTGGACGCTGGTTATCTATGGCCTGCAAGGTTCTGGGCATCCAAGACCGTTCATAACGAACAAGCAAAAGTTATATAATGAACTCATGTTCAAAAACGATGCAATGTCGATCTTATAATATTTTAGGTATCCTAATAATAGCTTAAGGCTCGAAAGGAATGCTAGACGGTCATATTTATAGAAATATCATATTAGACAATTTTAGCGTTTGGTAATAGCTGCTTGTGAAAGCGTTGGATACAGGCATACGGCAGCAGCTTAAAGCAGATAGGCTGCTTTAAGCAAAACTGTGATCACAATAAGTAAGTTGAGGTAAAAACTAAAACTTGAGAGTTTAAATTAAATAGGCACGGGTTTTACCACGCCATTATCGACACTTCTCCTGGAAGGAAAAACAACAGACAATCGAAAGCCGTTAAGCGTTAATTGTAAAGGTTTAGATTCGGTGCATAATATAACAACAACAAGTTTCCGTTATAAGTTTGCTTAAGTTGCCAATGTGGGACAAATTCTACTCTAGATGAAATGAAGATAGGTCTTGCTAAAGGATTTAAAATTTGGAAGTTTAATAGATAAGAATAATTAAGTTTATTATTATCAATTACTTCTTACTTTACAGTATTTGGGTATCCACTTTTCACAAAACGTATTTAACAATTCGCATAAAACTAAAAAGTAAACGACCTAATACCTTAATTTTAGAAAATGTGGATCTGATTTTCCCATCAAAAGAAGCCTTCAACCTTTCTAATAAAGAATAAGTTAGGGTTGAAAGAGTGCAATTGACCTTAACATGCGTTTACCTTTCGAAATTTTTGCCCATATGCTGGCATTAGTTCAGCGAGATCTGAGAGCAATATCCCGATTCTGCCCTCGAATCAAACTTTGACCCGACCTGCAAAGCGGAAACTAGACCAACCTACGTACTGTGTTATTGTAATTATTCTCTATTTCTATCGTCGACAAGGAGACTATAGATCACTTTACCCTATAGTTTAAAGACGTCACAATTGCTTACTTATGTGGCGACCTTGAAGCTTTGTCAAGTCATGAGATCAAAAGTCCCCTTGAGTCTTAAGATATGCTGGACTCCATTGTAGAGTAGAGGATGCCAGGTCCGGGACAAAAGTCATTTTCCGCTGCACTAACAGTCTTCTCATTAAATTGTTTAAGGCCAATTGCGCTAACGTCAACATCAGCCCGCACCAGCGGCAGTGTCCACGCTAATTCCGATGCGATCCCAGTCGACCACAACAGCACAATGATATCGTCTCATTGCCCTTCTTCTTACTCTGAATTATCAAAAGCTTCCGAAGTCGAAAATCTGCACCACGAAGTCTATCAGAGCAGCGCTTTGCAGGCGGAACGTCGCACATTATAGTTCAATGGACGAACGTGGCAGTTGCAATCGCATGTACATACAAGGCAGGCGTCATATTGTTCTCGTACACGGGCACACACACCATTATGAGCTTTTTGGAGACACACCTCAGTGGTCTTACTAGCAACGGGCTAAAGGCCTGGCTTACTAGAGACGTGAATATCGCCAACGACTCGGGTATAGCCCCCGCTATCAGCATCTCAGCGAGCACCACCGGGCCGAAGGCGGAGTTAGGGATGCCCACACAGTGCTTCTGACGGTGCTCTGCTATCTGATTGGCCTTCTTTGCTGCGGTCCTCTCCCGCGCCAACCTCTGCGGACCCGCCGCCGCTAACACCCCGTACGAATTTGCTTCGTTGTCTCTGATTGGCCTGCGCCAAACACTTCCCCAGCCCTATTTAGCCCCCTAGACCCCTATAGAAACTCCTACGGTTGCTACCCCTGCTCATCTTTTCAAGACTGTAGTTCAAGCCAAGTTACTAGCTGCGCTAGCTTTTCTTTTGAGTGAGATTGCAGCAGGACCCGGAGCAGGGGGTGCGACTTCGCGCATGCGTCACCATCAGCTGCTGACAGCTAGGGTCGCGTCAGCCTCGGCTGCGGTCTTCGATTTGCTGCAGGCGCTAGCAACGGCGATATGTGCAGGGCAGAAAATGTTCGGACCAGCTCCAGCCTCGGAGCCTACCTTCCTGCCAACCAGCCAAGTCGTCAGGGTTACTAGCAGCCACACTAAGGTCTGGTTATAGCGGAAGGAAGTAAGTACTTCCAATAGGCTGGCGTGTTCAGGACACACCGGACGTACGGGAGCAGCATTGCAGGAAACGATCGACTGACGACGAAACCGACCGACCGACCGACGCAGACCGACGACGGGCCAGGATTAGCAGGATCAACGTTCTGACGCCGTTAGCATCAAGCAAGAAACGGATGAAGGAGCGAACGGCGATTCCAACAGGATACATCAACGGGCCGCTATAGTTAGATGGCGCAACCAGCTCCTATTGACTAAAAGATTAACCGAAATAGCACTGGCAAGAGAGTGAGACGATCTCGGCTGCCGTCGAAGACTGTTGGGAAGAAAGGGGCCGCGACAAAGACATCAAGAAACGTGAGGCCTGATCGCTGCCTACTGGACATGCCTGTTCGGCCCGTAGCTGGACTAAATGGTGAACAGACTGTGTGAGTAAATTCCTCCATGTGTTGGCTACCGTAACGCTGTCGACATCCGTCGAAATCTGTGGAAAGGTTTGCAAACGTCGCGGTTGCCCGGTTCCCCCTTATCCGACGGACGGAGAATAGATCAGTTGAAGTATAAGTATATAAGCCGTAGTGTACAAAACATCGCGCGCTGGCCTCCACCGAGCTTGGGGTAGTACCGTAAGGCGTTGTTATCAATCACCCTAACTTCCCCCAACGATTCTCCCCTTTTAACGACGTGAAAGACCACGTCGACAGCGGACACGGCAACGACAACGAAAAAGTAATAGCGATACTAGAACCCATAGCAGCACCTGCAGGGAGTCAAGGATAGCCATCTCCGGAAAGGCATACAAGCACAGGGTAAAGCTGTTCCTGACGGACCCGGGAGCCGGAAGACGGCCGGAAGAAACGACAAACCCCTGCCGGCCTTTCCCTGTTCTTCGTCGTTTATAAACAACATTCGTTATTTTGACAGGCATCACCGCCACTTAACAGCTTCGGTAATGATAGTGCTTTGGAATGAAAAGTTCCTTGTGATTAAGCGACACCTTGAGAGAATCAAGTAAGTAAACCAGTACTATTTTGTCTGTACGATTGTCCCAACTCTATCGGGCAACCCCACTGCAAACAGTGTTGTGCCAATTAATGGCAAGGTCGTCGTATTCTGCGCTGCGAAACCCAATCGACCGACTAGCTTCCGGCGCCGCTTATACATTCATTCATAGGAGGATATGTCCCTCTTATGGGTCGATGAGCCAAACGAGTTTCAAATAAACCGAGAAAGTGACTTCTCCAGCATCTAGTATTCATAAACGCATCTGCTTATGTTGACACAGTTATATGATGGACAAGAACTAAGTGTGACTCGTGTCTAATAAATGAACTATTGCACTCAGGTCGGTAGCAATATATAACCTATAGTGTATCAAGTGGTGTCGCTAAAAGAGATTCCACTGAGAGTAGCGAAAAGTTCGATTTCATTGAAAACCGACCGATTTGGTAACTAACAAAAACCAAATCAACTTCGAACTTTGAGTAAAGGCTTTCATTGCAACCGGGATGATGCTCACAGGTAAGTGAAGTTCATATAACTCCAAGTTCCATTTGTTCGGCTGATTTGTGTATGTGTGCGTGTATGAATGCTTGTAATATGTAATACTGATACGAAGAAATACGACTGTGTAGCACAAGGCTACTGGAGCCTACTAGATCCACTGATAATATATTAGACCTCAATTTACCTCAGGGGGGTGTTTCAGGCCATAACGTTAGGTTGTATATAGAGTAGAAAGGCGCGATTTGGGTTCTTCTTCAGAGAAACTGCGGGAAGCGGTCGATGTGAATCGATGAGAAAATTTCTAACGTCATCGTAAGTATAACGTAAAGTTCACATAGCAAATAATGCTTTCGACACTGTTAATGCATATTTATTTTTAGGACTATCCAAAGAGCCACTTGTAAAAGGAATAACTTAGTAACACGAAAGACACATGGGGTCTGCTTAACACTAAATTGGATACTAGTTCACTAGTTGTATTGCTTTCTATATAAACGTAAATTATAAATATAAAATAGTAATTATAAAATATAATTAAATCAATGACAAAACAAAGGTTGAGCGAACTTTACACATTTAGCTTGTATTGTTTTCCTATATTCTAATGCCAGTTTCTCTACAACTGGTCAACGGAGTTAGAATAGACGATGAAATCTCAAGTTTTCAGTAATCTCAAAATTTCAAGTAATCATTTAGTCTGAAAATATAATACCTAGGCAGGCCCTTAGGAGCAGAGGAAAAATCACTCGAATTAATTTACATATATATATATATATATATATATATATACAGAACGTTAAATGTAAGGGCTAACTTCAACAAGATAGATCTGTCTCCACTGAACAAAGTTAACTGATAGGCAATAGGCAATACAAATTTCGTCTAAGTTTCTCACAATGAGTATTTAAATTTCAACCATATAAGACTCAGCCGATGGCAATAAACTGTTATCGACTGTAGCAGTGCGTGAAGCTCTTTCGCCAAAACCCTGGTACTTGATATAAACTACTCTGCCATATTCATATTTTGGCTGGATTCAAGGGAACGGAGGCTCTTGAACGAAGTCAACACAATTTTTTTCTGACACATACGTCCTTATCTGAGCTAACTCAGGTCTAAAATTAATATCTCGGTTTAATGTTTGGTAATATGGATGTTTATTAACTATAAAATCCCTGTTTATTAACTGTAAAATGATTTTACCAGTTCTTTTTCTCTCGGTTCTTTTTTTTTTTGTTTCAAGTACTGATGCAATTTAAATAGACGTTTACTTAAGTTTACATGTATAATACGTACATAGATGCAACTCTATTTGTCCGCCTGTACTTCACTAAGGTACCATTTGTTTTGGCATGACCGGTTGCCGGTCATGAAAAAAAAAGTTACGCATGCGCCAACAGCTCATTTATAGCTTCGTGATTTAAATTTAGAAATGGTATCTTTAGTTAGGTATATTAATGGAGATCTCTATTCTTTAATCAAACCTATCATTTACAAGACGTAAAGGCGTTAAATGATGTTCTAGCCTCTTGTGAACTTAATTCGCATACATTCGAGTTCTTCAAGCTGTGACGTCAAGCACGACGAAAAGTAGAGGGAAGCAAGCTTTTTTACTCACACAGTGATCAGTAGATAGTGATAAAACAAGATGCATAAGGAAAACACATGTTATTTATTAAATAACAAAATAAAATTCTAACAGGTCTTTACTGGACATGAGACAATAGACGAATTCTTTAGTATCCACTGCGCTGGCGTACTAACATAACGAATTATGCCGACGCTCCATTAGAACGACGAAATTCATTGTCTGCCGTTCCCAACACAGGATCGCTCGTACTCATCCGAAGTAACAATCAAACATCGACGAACAGAAACACCTATATTAACATGTTCCTTTAAAGACTTATATCCATAGCATAATTATCACAAGCACGCTCCACTGTCGGCAACCAGCCATCGTGACGCCAAGGGGCATTTGACAGCGGCTCGTTTCTTGGAACGCAGTCTTAGTGACGCGTCAACAACGAAGCCGATCAGCGCTGGCGCACCAGTCAACGCGCGTTTACGTATCCTCCATCCCTCTTTTTCTTTCTCACCCATGGCTGAGGCTTTAGGTATCGTCTACATCGAAGACGCTTGGAGCGTGTCACTTTTTATATCGAACACGCAAACTGCAGACACGATGCAAACGTCAAAGTGGTCCACAATGGCGTCCGTTAGACGGAGCCACTGTAGTCAACATCCAAGGTCCATCCCTTTCCCTCGCATGGCTACGGAAACATATGTAGGCCCCTCTTCTATACGTTCTGTGATTTGCCCTTGCACAGCGACAGCTTTTGAGACATAATTCGTATAGTTAGGGGACTAATCTGACTAGGTTCACTGTCTAAATTTGAAACGAAATAGAGTTTAGACCCCTTTTGTGTCTGTCGGTTATCAATAGGCGTATACACACAGCAGATATAATCCGGATCTGATCTGGTTAGCAATGGTCGACAGCAAACACAGTTACAGTCGAAGAAGAAAGCTAAAATAGTTGATAGCAGGTTTCGACCTGATTCGTTTGAAGTCTGCATAAAACAGTTTCCTCGGTGTCTAAAGATAACGTCGTCATCTTTCGCTGTGAACTCTACCACCGATATCATGACGAATGGCGCATGTGTCGAAGTTTAAGAGCATTATGTCCTTTGCAGTTCGTTCCTTACGGACTATGTCCTAAAAATTCTATCGGTTTTTAACGAGCCTATAGCTATCACTCACTTCCAAAATATGTCGGTGAAAATTATTTCACCTCAGAACATTTCCTCTTACTGTTAGTTCGTTTTTTGATAGTTGCTTTTAATTAATATTTAAAATTTCAACGGAATTCTGATGTAATGATTATATTAAGTTATGGCTCATTGACGCAGATGCTCTAAAACTATACGAAAAACAACACGAATATAAGCTTGTATGAATAATCCTTATTTCGGCCCTTCGTCCTTGCTCTGATTGCATGCCGTCCTTTTTTTCGTCAGAATCAAACTACCGCAGTTCATGGGCAGGTCGGGCTTCGCCATCGCCCCCGCATGGGGTAGGCGGCGTCGCTGGAGCAGGCGTCCTTGGCAGTGGTCAGATTCAACTGTGGCAATTTCTCCTTGAGCTGCTCTCCGACTCGTCAAACGCGAGTTGTATCGCATGGGAAGGCAGTAATGGAGAATTCAAACTCACTGATCCTGACGAAGTTGCCCGGCGTTGGGGCGAACGAAAATCCAAACCCAACATGAGCTACGACAAACTCTCCAGGGCCTTGCGCTACTATTACGACAAAAACATCATGACAAAGGTAAATGCTTTTTTTTTTTCTCAGCACAGATCTGAAAGAGGTCTTCGAAAAAAATTGTTTGTCCTATGTACCTGGGATTACAAAACTGGACCGTGCCCATTTCTTTTAGCCCATATAGATCTGCGAAGGGAAACGATTACTTTGCGCGTTTGGAGCGCCTATGCCGGACTGAAGTGTGCTTGTTAACGAGTTTTTTAAGCTCATCAGTCTGTATTTGCCCTGCATCATAGTGAAGCATAATACGTCACCGTAAAATAGTTATATATATATGTATATATATGTCCATACAACCCGTAGACGAAAAGGGATGCGGTCGAAGATGTTTTCTATTTTTGCACACTTCGATACTTACTTAGCACAACTTTACCTTGGTATCTCTTCGGTTGTATTGGAAATTTTACATATATAAAAATTTGACAGGTGCCTCTTTACATGACGCTGCTAGAAATGTATTTGCTTTAGCTAACTGTACAATAGCGTTCTCCAGCTGAGCGTACAAATTCGCGCAAAATTATCAGACATTATTAACGTTTTTAGTTCCCTGACATCTGCTATTTTCCCGCCGAAACTGTTACTCTAGTAGAAGCTAAAAGAATCTGTTTAGTTCAAGATCCTACAGCCATCTCTGTTCGAATTTCCTTCCAGCACTGCATTTCCATACGCTTTTCGCTTGCATGATGCCATATACGATGCATAGCATGTAACGCACTAGATTGGAGTGGTTCGCAAATTTCCGCGATTTTAGCTGGTTTTCTGTCATTGTCACTCCAGCCTTAGATGAAACTCGTTTAGATCCTGAGTGAAAGTTGCTTGTCTTTACAAGCAAGCCTGGCGTAGCCATGGAGCAATATGCTTCGCGCAAACGTTCTCTTCTTTGTTGAAACGCACGTTTCTCCATCTCATCGTTTCCTACTGGCAGCTAAACACTTAGGTACAGATAACCCTTTTATTGGTTTGCATTGACGTTCGTTTTTCCGTTCCAATATTTTTACCGTTTACTGTCAAAACTTACAGGTGCACGGTAAGAGATACGCTTACCGCTTCGATTTTCAGGGTCTGGCTCAGGCAACACAGCCGCAGGGTCCCTCGACTTCGCTGGGGGTAAGTCCGTCTTCTCTGGACTCCGTGTCCGGCATGGTGGCGTCCTCCATGGGCATGAGCTCTTCTTCTGTTGGAGCAATGGGCACTGCCGTTGGAAGCGTTGCATCTGCGGCCGCTCATCATTCTGCTGGTTACCACTTACCGAGTAGGTACCATCAGTATCACCAGGCGCCAGGATCAATGACAGCTGCCCACAGCGAGCTTTTCGGCCAATCGGCGAGTTCTTACCACGCGGCAGCTCATGCCAAACTACATTTCAATTCAGCTTCCAGCATTTTTGCTCCCAATTACTGGTCTACCAATGGGAGTGAGTTGTACTATGGCTTAAATAATAATCACAATGGTAATATAATAATACTGAAATTGCAATTATATCTAATGGGTCAGTTGCACCAAAAACAGTAATGTATTGTAGTAACTAAAACATTAAGGTAATAACATAATTTTCAGTTTTTATGCGTATTTTTTCTATCAATTAAGTTTGGAAAATAACTGTGTTTAAAAAAAAACACTGCGTACTTAGCTTAGTATAGCTTTATTCTAAAAATTAACTTTATTTGAAATGTCTGAACACTGCCAACGATCACAGGCAACAACTAACTTTCACTGGAATATGTCGTGCTCAGCGCACTTTTCTAATCTTTGCACGTTATTAACTTTATAGTTTTCTTTTTAAGATCGATAAGTTCAGATTTTCAGTCTTAATGCTGTTTAACATTTCAGGTGTATGGGAGCCTCCTACGTGTAACAGTAGTAGCTATGGCGCCTCATCCTACGGAGGCTGCCCATGGCCCACTAGCTCCACGAGTATGGCCAGTTCATCCTCGTTTTCCGAGTGACACCGATTGTTACCGTTCGGAACGCGACAAATGCCCCACTAACAGAAATCTGCTCGAAAACGGATTTGTCAAGCAAGAGCAGAATCTGGTATACTTGTCTCCGAGAAATTCACCGTTCCCTTCTTCTGTCTATAATCACAAGGTGGATATGATCAGAATGAAGGGCCATACTGGTTCATACTCAACGTGTCCGCGCCCGCAGGTACCATGAAACTCAACACAGAGTAAGCAGAATGTCCTAAAAGGAGGAGTGTAACGTCAGCGATTGCGCTGTTATATGGTGTGCGACGCGACATGGCAGTAAAGTCCTGATATAGCTTTTGGGCCCTTCACAAAGAATTCCATTATTTCAGGAAAGCCAAGTCCTGCTGAACTGCGAAAGCTGAACGTAGCAGGCAGTAACGTTCACACTTAGTCATAGAACATCGTCAATGCTAAAATGAACTTGAAGACTGAATGTAAACAGATGTTTATTTTAGTTTTCATCGCACACCTGCCATCTTAGACTGTGATATTTTCCATCCAGAAGAAAACTAACTTAAGGTCCTGATCGTGATTCCGGGCTAACGCCATACCAACGTTGTCCCGATGAAGCGATCGTTCCGCCACAAACTCAGGCCACAAACTCTCAGGCCTCACGATCGCATCATTTCCGTGTATCATACATAATACTAATAAATATACATATATATATATTAAACGTAACATGAAAAAAGAAAGCGTTCGAATGAATGATTTGGCATGACGAAATGCTAAATAAAATCCGGCTCAACTGATGGGGGCCACGCAATGAAATTTATAGAAACAGAAAATAACAATGAAAACGAGCGTTGCCATGAATTGCCAATAACAACCATTGACTATTAGGATATCATATGTATGATAATGATGAATATAATATATTTGCAATAATAATGAACAGTAAAGTAAATAAACATCATGACAAAAGTAAAAATGGCTTAATTAGTTAATTCAAGATAGTGAATTTGTTATTTTTCAGTCTAGGATTAGATTCATACGGACCTTATTTCTGTGCTAACACAACTTAAACTGGACCTAATGGTAGGTCATAGCCGTCATTGGCCTATTGACCGCGCATATCGATTAAATGATACATATCTTTTATAAACTCATTCATCTTCAAAACTTTCTTAAACACAATAGACTTATTATTCCAAGAGAATATAGCCATCTTGCTAACCGAATTGTATGGAACGGTTGTTCAGAAACGATCTGAAATGATCTCGCAAATCATTTACAAATTAAAAGGAATCTTCCCATTTTAAAGGGTTCATAACTTATGCGTGTGGGTATGCGTATAACAAAAATGGCCTATCCATAGGAAAAAAAATTGTCCTATGATTAAAGGCTGAGTGCGGTGTTAGTTCCACCTGCAATACAATTTAAATTGAAAACAAGAAGCCTTAGGTAGTCTGATATTCGGATATTTTTCTGTTCTCCAGTCAAATCTTTTACCAATTATACTTCTATTCGACTAATCTTTATGAAAACATCCAAACTCTATCCAGTTCTATATATAATGTTTCACAATTTAATCTTTTTCATTGGGCTTTCCTAAATGTCTATTCTACTGTTTCCACTATCATCCAAGCTCTACCCTGCCTTCGAATAATCCACCTATTGTCTTATGCTTGTCCTTATTAGATCCACAATTGCTCCTCCAAAAAACCTCAATACAAACCCCTTCTTCATGAACCTCGGAATGTCGCCGTGTGCTCTCTTTGACATCATCTTCATGACAAAATGAACATCGATCACGGTAGATCGCTTCAGACAACGTCGCTACCGTTCCGTTTACATCGATCCGTTTGAATGGAACTGTCGTATAGAAAGTAGGTTTTTGGTTTCATTCCTATCTCAATTCTACGACATTTCTCATTGCTTCGTGCGTACGCGGATTTTAACCGCACGCGCTGTCCCCCTGGCTGACGCGTTTGCCTCGCCGAGGTTCCCATTAGTTCAGACTCTTCGACGAGCTTTATGAAACCTGAGGGTTGTGCTCACGCCTCCTCCCGCCCTCCACACAATGGTATTACGCCCTCCCCATCGTGGTCAGCTGGTGCCCACTGAAATCTGAAACGACTTCCAGCTCGCTTACCTCACCATCACCATGAACACACTCGCATGACAACACGAGTTTCCCGTTTGTCGCCCGCGAGACCTCACTGCCATGACGATCTCGTTTTCGAGCATTTGCCACCGCCAGACCCATAAGCAGCGCCGCTCTTCGCTGTTATTAGGCAGCACTGAACTTCATCAACGCGTTCTCAGTCCCTTTGATAAATGTCGCTTGATATCGTGACGATGTCCGTACTGGGAAAGGGATGGATACAGCATACGAGTGAGCCTGACGCTCTTTGAACAGCTCCTTCGCGTCTTCACCTTTCACGCTTGCCCGTGCGAACATGATACGAAAACACGTCGCACACGACATCTATGAAAATATCCCTGGGTTATCGTGGTTGGTGTTGTTAACATTGTCGATGTGTCCTGGTTTCACTCGTGTGTCGGGGAAAGTTTGGGTGATAAGGCCTTAGATGAACTACAGGACAAGGGCTCACAATAGACGGGTCATCATTCCTAGACAAGCAGTACAGAGTTAGCTTTTGCTGCCGAAAAACTTCGAAAACTATGATAGGCAGTTGCATGAAGTCCATGTGTAAGCGTTGGTCCTACGAAAAATTATAGGGGACACATCGACAGTCCTACAAATAGAACTGACGATACAACGTACTAAGTTAATGCTCATTTGGCGCTTTGTGTTATATGGAAGCATTTATTACAGCTGTGAAATTGTGTATAGGATTGGGGGAGCCGCTATGAGCCAACTGGAGGTGACGTATTAGGTTCCGCGTTTTACGTACGCTACTGCCGCTTGACGTTGCTACTTAAATGCGTTTAATGTGAGAAAATAACTATGTTGCTTAACAAAATGGCGGCACGAAACAAAGTTAGAGAAAATTAGGAGGCGACCTGTATGTGTCTGATTAGGAAATGTTGTAAACTATTACGTCCCGATATTGATGCTATTGATCTAAGTGGTAAATGAACTGGAGGTTGAAAGGTCGTAAAACCAATTTTTATTTAGTATAATAACAAATAATTTTATTTATTTATACCCGTACACTTCAAGAGCCGCGTCCGCTCGTTCGTGCAACCTGCATTGTAATGCTAAGCAGAAAATCAATGGGTACTACATACGGCGTGCAGTGGCATTTGTTGTGGCCATAACGCAAGCTGTAATGTACTTCTCTGCTAAACTTCAGGGGCACGTGAAGTGGTCGAAGTTCAAACTCCGGTGCAGACAAACATCGTACACACAAGAGAATTTAAGATTCTTGTTTATTTACAAAGCGTTTCCGGATAATTAATTTTACGAAAAAAGGTCTAGATGATGGCGCACATTGAAACGCAGCCTATTCTTTCCAATAGAAGGGTGTTATAGTTATATACCATTATTTTAATTTAAAAGTAGAGGTGACGACAGTTTTGATACTAATGCAAAAAAAGGTTGGCGAGAAATGAAAAACTCAAAAAATTTATTAAATAAAATATCACAATTCTTGCTGTGAGATATTTCGCTTCGTACCAGTATACCGCACGTACAGCCGTCGCATTATTTGCTCCCAAGTAATATTTTTAGATACTGGACGAGCTCTCGCAGCGACCAACGATTACTACATATGGTTCATCCAGGCGCTAGTATTGGGTTCGTTTCACATTGGCCCGAGCCTGTTTGCTGTGCCTGCTACCGCGTTTGTTCGAAATTAACCGACGTTCCCGCCACCGGAAGTGCCCTAACCGGATGTCAGCTCCCCCCCGTCTCTGATCCCCCACCACCCCATATCGTCCTAGTCATCATTGCTCGCTTAGACAGCCCCGTTGTCTGGACTCGGAAAGGTCTATGGGGCAGTGTGGAAGTTGGCAAAGGCACGAGTCGCCTCCACGGATCATCTCGTGACAAGCTATCCTCCCTGTGTTAGTGCGCGTCTGTCTGTAAGCACGGGGCAGGGCAGTCTGTTCGGCACGCAAGGACATGCCTATAGGTTGCGTCCCCCTAGGGATGACAGGGTGTATCCGAGTGACTATGTTTCTGTGTGCGAAATCGTAGGTTAGTTATCAGCTTTGGCCTGCCTTTCTCCTTCTCGATCTTTTTATCTTTCCTTTTCGCCCGCTTGCTCTTGGTCTCTGCCCTGAAGAGAAGCCTGCAGGGGTTTCTCGCTGCGGACTCCTTTACCCCCATCGCCATTACAACGGCGGAGCAAAGCGATGTACAACAGACAACACATGATCGTATTTCGGACTTATATCTAAATTCTAAGCGATTGCTAACCCTAATGTCGTTTTCGAATCTCTACTGCGTGTTGATGCTGTACCAATCCAGACCCGATCTTTCGCGAGTAGGTTCCATATTACCGAGAATTCTGCTGGCTTCGCTAGCTATGGCCGTATCTCTCGTAATTTCGATCTCTACCTAACACAGAGGACAGTCATCTTTCTGAGGTACCGCAAAAGCTCAGCGCTCCGTTCAGACCAAAACAGAAGTAAGGGTGTGGATAGACGCCATGGCTGCCGCCGGGGGCGTGAGCCCAAAGCTACTGCCGCGTCGAGCGAAGTGCAGCAAGGGACAAAAGACTAGATGACTGATCAGTTCGTCCAACAGCAGCTACGACGACCACGATAACGACAACGACAACGATGAGCATCAACTTACTTCAGATAGTAGAATCCGGACAAACCTGAAGCAGAAAAAGGCCGTGCGGTAGGAATTGGCAAGACGTTACAGGCTAAGTAGCTTTCATTGCCGTAACAGGAGGTGCACGGCGAAAAGAACTCCATAGGAAGCTCACAGAAGACGGTTAGCCAACCTTTGCCTTTGTCGGGCAATCCAGAGACAAAGTGATGAAGTTCGCCCGCAATAGAATAACGTACATGGGCCTGCTGTCTAGGAGAGGACACGGGGAAATGCGGTGTTGTCAAAGCAGCCGGGGGCTCGTGTTCACTTTATCTTCTGCCTGACGTCGCACAAAAGCTTCATGCGCTGCTGCTGGTAGTCGCTCTCAGCGCATACTTACTGTAGTAGATGGCTAGGAGCACTACCTCAACTGCGGTTCCTTCGCTGGCGGCGCCCTATCCGAAATCTTCAAAAAAGAGGCAGATGGGAAAAGGGAAAAAACATATATCAAGGGAGGTTGCTCATAGCATAATGTCTGTCCACGCCCACGTGATCTCTCATGCTCTCTACGCTGAGCCAGAGGACTGAGCCGTCATGTCAGCGGTTCGCTCGAAAGGTGGAAGCACGCTGGCGGAGGCGATGCCATCACGATGGAAAGAATGAGCCCTGAGCACTAGCCGTACCATTGCTAGATTAGCACTTTCTCCCTATGTTAGCGGGGACAAGGAAGATTCGGACAAACAGGATAAGACGAAAAAAAGAAGTTAGACAAAAGGCCGTGTCATGCACAAGTCGGTCAATAGCCGTCGATTGTAATTAGAATAGCTAATGCGGTCATATCTACGGACTGCAGATGCAGACGTCAAAGGCGAGTGACGATAGCAGAAATGAAACAGAACAGACAAATCAACGGAACTGATGATGTAAATGAAGGTCGGCCGTGGAAAAAAATCCGGCTGATTACGCCGATGCCGCATGAAAACAAAGTATTATGCAGAAGTGCTTCAAGGTAATGTACGGTACGTCGCTGAGCTAACTCTTTTCTAGAAAACATCCTCGGCTGGATGTCGTAGTTACAGATACTTGCGTCTGTGCGAGAGAATAACTAGCTAGTTAAAGGTTGGCGAATAAATTTATTTCGGTGTTCGAGGGTTTAGATATCTGACAGATAGAAAGATTGGATTTTACTGAAAAATTAACGCAAATTTGTTTAAAAA